TGTGTGCCTTACTGTAATCCATGGTAGTTTCCCTTCTCTTTGCTGCTCTTCCTTTTAAATCCTCATGTCTTCTCTTGTTTTATGTTAACAAATCTGAGGGTTTAATGTCACTTTAACTCATTTAAGGTGCCCATACACTGCTCGATTCTCGTACGAGAATCGCAGGAAATCCCGCAATCGTACGAGAATCGATCAGTGTGAACGAAGACGTGCAACCGTTTCTACTGTACGGTCGCACGTCTTTTGTCTAAGGAGCACGCTAGAAAACCAGCCGAAAATCATACGATTTTCGGCTGGTTTGAACAGTGCTCGGGAGACAAATGCCGAACCGGCCGGTGATCGAGAGTATGATCTGCCTGTCCAAGATGGGCAGATCGTACGTTTTTTAAATCACTTTACAACCATCGCAAGACTAAGGTCTTGCGATGGTTGTACAATGTATGGCCACCTTTACCCAGCTTAGCATCCAGTCAGATGCTGGCTTTCAGTTTCTAACATGTACAACAACATGACAAATGGAATGCAGTTGTTCATTTTCTCCAGGTTTGCCTGGGACTAAGCAGTCCCAGCTGGAAAAATAATGAACAGAGAAGCAAGAGAAGCTCATCTGATTGCTATTGATTCACCTGGTGCCGTTGATGTCCACTTCTGTTCCCCCTGCCCTTTATCTCTTGTCTAGATAAGAACACTCAGATGACCTGAGTATTCTTATTTACTCCGTCTATACTCTGACTGTTTGTCCGACTGTTCTCTAATGTTTATGTGCAATTTTAGTCTAAAGGATGGTGTGCTTTCTTTTTAATATAATCACTGATAGACCAAACTTAAAGTAGAACAGAAGCCAAAACTTTTTAGTTTAGTTTTGGTTAGAGTAAAGGTGCCCGCACACCTTACAATTTATCTGCAGATTTTCTGTAGTCAGATGGAAAAAGTGCAACAGATTGGCCCAGGTGGAGATTCCTCCATCCACACAGTTAAGTGTAGATGGAGGAATCTGTTGCACCTTTTCCATCTGACCATAGAAAATCTGCAGATAAATTGTAAGGTGCCTGGGCAGCTTAAGGGAGGGTTATAACCCTGTCAGCCTTTTTTTGCCATCTGTCTCATTTGGGAGATTTCCCTTCACTTCCTAATAGCCACAATATGAAGTGAGAGGAAATCCTTTCAAAGTAAGAAAAATCCCTGGTGGTCAGCAGGGTCAACTTTTTTTTACTGTTGGGGCATGAAATGTTTTGGAAGAATTTACAAAGCCCTGCTTTCACTAAGGCAGAAAACCACTGACCTGGACAAAGATAGCAGGTCTCTAGTAGTGATGGGCTTGGGCATGTTCGCAGCTCCACGTGCCGAGCCCGCCAGGAAGCTGACAGCGCCACAGCGCCAATCACAGGTACTGAGACATATCCTGATCTCTGCAGCTGCGGACCGGGAAATGTCTCAGTACCTGTGATTGGCGCTGCGGCGCTGTCAGCTTCCTGGCGGGCTCTGTGTGTGGAGCTGCAAACACGCCTGAGCCCATCCCTAGTCTCTACCTACCAGATGTATTGAGGGTGTTGGACATCATTAGATACTTCAGGGTATATTAAACATGTTTTTAATCAGACAGACCTTATTAGTTAGATTAGAGTGAGAAGCACAGTCTACATATGCAATGAGCAAATAATGATGCCCTCATTTGGATATTTCATTACAAACTGTAAATTAAATATTCAATAAAAAAAAAAAGGTTGGAGTTGAGTTTTAACTGTGTCATTTGTAGATTTGACAAACAGCCATTTATTGGTTTTGAATGGTTTTACATTATTTGTAAACCATTATTGGAGGCCAAATGGTAAAATGATTGCTAAAATGATTGCTAATTTGGAAATTTTATAAGTATATACAGTATATCTGAAATAATAATAATAACACTGGTCAACTAGACATATTTTCTAAAATTGTGGCTGACTATGTAATAACAGGCTTGTGGTATTTCCTCTCTGCTGAATTTGTGGTAAACCAGAGCTGCAAAACATTACACATACATTTTCATAAAACAATTTTTTTGCTACATTATGAAACTGAAGGATTAAATAGTTAATTAGTGGCTAAAAATGAGCAGCATTAAAGTGTGCATTAATGCAGATTTTATTACTTTTGATGTACGTTGTATATAGAGTAGGGAAGGGTTAGAATGGGGCTCAGGAAACTTTTCCACATCAAGTGTCAATTTACAGGCATTCGACAGTCTGCATGCCAGTGAACATAAGCGCGCCATAGTCGTATAGTTGGTTTTCAATTTTTGCATTCATAGTTGTACTGCTATTGGCAACTCATTAATTTTTATTATATTAACTTAGTGACATCAAAGTAAAAAAAAAATGTTTCTCCCCCTCCCCACCCCACGTTAGGCCCCATTCACACTGAGCGATTTATCAAGTGATTTTTGCAGCGATATCGCTCATATTTCCACGCGATATTGCTCTATGTAGCTTCTCCAATCCATTTCAATGGAGCTGTTCACATCTCATCGCTCAATATCGCTCAATATCGCTTGTAGCTCCTACATGACCCTTTTTTCGGGCGATTTCAAGCGATTTTGCTCCTGATTGCATACAGCCCAATAGGAAAAAGTCCCTCAATATCACATCGCTCAATATTGCTCAATATCGCTCAATGTGACTGGGGCCTTAATGTTAGCACTTACCTTAAATGATGTATCTTAATCCGATCTTCCTCTTCTTTCCTGATGTTTTAATCTGTCCCTCCAGCAGTGTGGCGGCTCTCCGATCCAGCGCCGCCTCCTCTGTCCTTGCTGATCCTGTGGTGTCTGCATGCGGGTGCACGCGTCCATAGACTTACCTTGCGTCTCTGCTCATGTCTCGGCTGAAAATCCGAACTGAGCAGTTTCGGATTCTCGGGCGGGATCGCGTGGCGAAAACGGGGTAAGTTTAAAACGCTGTTAAAGCGGGTTTTAAAAACCAAACAAACAACTTTTTGCCTACATCTACTGCTTGCTAGCAGTAGATATAGGCAAAAAAATGGAGGGTTTAGAAACCCTTTAAGTAAGTATTTAAAAAAAAAACCCAAATAACTACTACTGTCGAGTGTTTGGCAGAGTAGTGTGCAGGTACTGTCTTCTGCAGTATGACCCTTGCCTGTAACCTTTGCAAAAACTGTAATGCAGTTTGAGGCCACAGATAAAAAAAATTTGATTTGAACACAACGCTTCTCAAAGCTTGTTGAATGCTTTCCAAAGCTTGCTGAAGTTTATGCTCCTCAGAGAACATTACAGTAGGATATACACCCCATTCCAGTTTTAGTGGGAGCTGATTAACTTACAAAGATTTATTTCAATCACTGAAGGAAACTAGAGAGGACCCACCAAACACAAGAGGAGCAAACAAACTCCTTGCAGATAGTGTACTTGTTGGGAAGTGAGTTCAGGTTCCACAGTGCTAGTGGGCGCTGATGACAACATTCATTTTGCATTTTAGTTATACTTGTCTGGTAATCTTTTTTTGCACATTCCTTTGAGCTTGAAATTTTGATTAAACTCCAGGTCTGAGCTGTTTATTATGCATAGCACGTTTGTAAATAATTGTATGTATTAAAAAGCTGCAAACAGCCTTCTGACAGAAATAGCATATTCTAATTATTTTCAGATGGCACCAGAGCAAATGATCTGCATTGGAGTGAATCTGATTCGAAAATGTGCTCGCAAAGCAATGATGCTGATCGTTTTGCCAGATGAAGCACATGTTTTAGTAAAAATTTCCCTCCAGGAATCTATTTTCAGACATGTTACACTGTCTTGTGTCGAGGATTCTTCCTTCCCCTATAATGGCTATTTAGCAAGAAATGGAGAACATTGTCTCCTATGGGCTGCATTCACTAATATGATTCTGCTAAAGGGAAGACTAATAACAATACAGAGAAAGTCTAGAATAGTCATAAACGTATGTTTTAAGTCATTAAGGCTGATTCATTAAAACCAGAGGAAAAAAAGTGTGTGCCAAACCAGCTGCTGACAAGCCTAAAGTATTCCCATTATAACTCAATACAACTTTCAAGCTGCGGGGATTGTAGTCCACATATATGATTTCTCTCATTAAGCCCTGGTGAAGGAGTGTGTTTTGGACCCCTGAAACGCATTGGCTACTCCATTTGAATGTCACGTGACCCTAATGGTTAAAGTTGTATGTGGACTATTTTAATTGGTGTGATTACCGTCCTCACTATAAAAGGGTGAGGTCACAGCCGCCATATTGGCCATGTGCTTTAGCTGTGATTGGGAAAGCAAAGGGAGTGCTGCTGATAAATTTCATAGGGAGAGATTAGTGTACAAATTCTGGGCAATGGTCTGCTAAAGTAGATGTAAACAGTTACCGAATGCATGTAGGTAGCAAAATGCTGTGTATCTTAGAGAATTTGGCGGTGAGGAGAAGGAAAGGTTTTTACCTTTTTTTTTTAATCCTTTGTTCACCTAATGCTGGTGATGACTTGCAGCCTCTTTACAGCCTAACCCTGTCCACATGTCCCCATGCGCTCTTTGTCTCCAGGTTTATCAGTGAAACATACATTAAATACTTATTTGTAAAATATAGATTTTATGCAAATGTAACAAATACAAAATATCAGTTTAACAATCTCAGTTTTTCCGAACACTTATAAAATCTGCAAGCCATTCACGGAATAATTTTATAGTTACATTAAATGTGCCACATATTTTATGGTGGAGGGTACAATCTATTCACAGTTAATGCACCTAGAATGATAAATGCCCTCTGTGTCTTGTGTCCCAGTTATAGTAATGCCCATACTTTCTTGTCCAGGGTTCACAGGGACATAAAGTGCAGGGAAATCTCTTGAGAAGTTCTAACAACAGCAATACAGATTGACTGGAATAGCGTTTTAATTGCTTTTTGCTGTTTTTACAGTGGTAGTCAAATGATGTGCAAAGAATTAAAGAAAACAATTGTATAATGTATTAACTGTTATATTAACTTTTTGTTTTTAAACAGGGGTAAAGATGTTGGCCATGATGTGGATATCCTGATTACATGTCCCCAGAAAAGAGATGAAAATCAAATTTTGCACAAAACCATTAATGCACTGAAAAAACGGGTACGTACTTTTTTTTATCACCATAAATAACTGATGCTCCTCTGAAATAATAAATTATCCAGCCTTTATTTTCTACTGATATAATTAGTTGACATTTAACCAGCAGTGTTTCCGATGGGAGCCAATGGGGCCAGTGTCAGCCCCATACAGACTATTATTTTTAGCTAAACATGACTGAGACCTACACTGAGAGATAGGAGCAGAGCTGCGCAGCCATTGTTCTGCACTATTGAGCCGGATGTGCAGTTTTCCAGATATAATAAGGCTGCACCCAAATATATAAATAATTAGAAACAAGGTTTTTAAAAAATATGAATACAGATTTAAGACATTATTGTCAAAAGGCGAGTACATTCAGGCCACTGATTTGCTGCATCTGCTTGCACATTATACTTTGACAGAAAGCATGAGGTCCACCACTGTGGCTGTGTTTGGGTTCTAGAGGGGATAAATTAAAAGTTCCTCTTTACATGTCATACATATTTGCAGTATAGGGTGTTAATTTGTGGTGTTATTATTTCTAGGACCTACTGCTTTTCTGTTACCTTGTGGAGTCTACATTTGATGACACAAAACGCCCCAGCAGATATATAGATTCGCTCGATCATTTCCAAAAGTGTTTTCTAATTCTCCAACTTCAGAAAGAAGAAAGTAAAAATGCTTACAGCCATAAGCCTAAAGGGTGTGATGCCAAAAGAAGCTGGAAAGCTATTCGTGTAGACCTGGTAGTAACTCCATATGAGCAGTATGCCTTTGCACTTCTTGGCTGGACAGGCTCACAGGTATGGATAAACTCTCCTAGTACCTTAATGAACATTGTAATAAACTTAATAGCATTTAAAGAGTTACATGATATGGCTGATTTAGTGAAAGTAGTATTAAACGCTCAAACATTTTTTCAATATTGAATCCAGATCCAACAAATGTACATTGCTCAGCAAAGTATTTCTGAAATTTGTTGCCCAAACACTTACAAGTATCATGTTTCGAAGCAGTGTATCCAACTATTTCAGCTCTGCATCCGTAAACTTCCTTTCCAGTACAAAATCACAAGGGACAGTGCAGTCTCCAGCAACTCTCCACCTACTAGCTTGGAGAAGGAAGGTGGGAGAAGTGGAGAGCAGGGGGAATTGAGTGGCTTGCCTTGCCATGCTTGTGTGTTTTTGGAGACACAGCTTATTAGCACATAAGGGTTAAAGTGACATTAAACTCAAGAGTTAAACTTTAAAAATACATTCAAGTACAAAGATGTATCTTATTTGTGTATCACTTGGCTGTAAATCCTCAAATCATCTCTGAATTGGTGCTGACACTGCCCTTTCTTCTGGAGGGTGGCTACTTTTGTTCCCCATGCTCCCTAAGTCTGTTGTAAAGTAGCCACCGCTCCAAATTCACTCCCATGATGGACTACAATCTCATTACAAATGTGTAATCTAAACGTGAGATTGTAGTCCATCACGGGAGTGTGCTTGAAGCGCTGGCTACTTTACAACACACACAGGAACCATGGGGAACAAAAGTAAACACCCTCCAGAAAGAAGGACAGTATGAATTCAGAGATGATTTGAGGATCTACAGCTGAGTGATGCACAAATAAGATACATTTTTGTTACTAGTTAAGGTACTTGGATCTATTTTTATTTATAAGATTTAATTCTTGCTCTTTGTGTCACTTTACAGCTAAGAGACCAATGACACATGTTTTTTGATGTACACTATTGCCTACATGTACCATTATTTTGCATTATAGCCAATATTTAAACAGTTTTTGATATATAGACTCTTGTTATTGTTGCTATTGCCTTTTGTTAGTAACTATCTCATTAAAAAAGTAAGCCTTAAAGTGTTAAAGAAAAATACATTGCTGCATGGCGTCAGATCTTTTAAGATACACGCAAGAGATTATATTTTTCTGTTAGAAGATGTTATTTGCAAATATATTATTAAGCCAATCAGTGTATCACTCTGTTACCCACGTTTGAATGGTAACTCCTTGTAAGAGTAACTGCAAAGGATTTCTAGATTTGTCTTACAAAATGTTATTATCATTTACGTTGTACATATGAATTTGTGTGTGTGTACAGAGCCACACACTCCCCTAGCAGATGCACAATTACACAGTGTGTTAGAAGAAGCATACATCCTGTAATTAGAGAGCTGCAGACAGGCAGAACTAACATTACCCAAGTAAAGTGATACTATTATATCTGAGTGGTTGGCAAAGTATATATTGTGCTTCCCGGGCTTAATCAGTGCTGCACAGTTATTTACACCAAGACAAGCATAACTGCCATTTGGCTTTCTGGCATTTACCGAGAGGAAAATCATTGAATAACTTGTTTTTATCACTGGTCCTTTTTCTACTTTCTCGTCTTCCATAATGATTTTCATGAAGTAATCTTATGCCCACCACCTGACTATTGTCTTTTTAGTATTCTCCTTTTGTCTGTTTTTAGATACAGTATGCTATGGATCCCTGCACAAAGAAACACTCCCCCCCCCCTTCTGATACATATTATTATTACTGTACAAATATGGTTGGCATCTTGCTATTTAACCACCTGGTCAGCTTTTTTTTTTTGTCTTTTATGAAACTTTCTGGTAATTTGCGCTATGTGACTGAAAGTCCATTTTGTCTCTGATTCCTGATACATGTTGTGATTTGCTATCATATTCACAAGCATATTCACTTTGGCTGTGTATTCATAAAATGTCATCACAATGTGACACCCTAATGGGGTACATACATCTGCCTTTATATCAGCCTCCTGTATTCTGCTGCCCATCAGTAATTAGATTGGGAAAGGCAGGGTCAAAACAAGGAGCCAGTTAGACTCTACCATGGTGCAGATGTGCTTTTAGTTAGAGCAGAGTGGTGATTCCTCAGTCCTTGTCCCTCATTGTCCAGAAAGTGAGGTGTGCGTGCTTGAGCACTGCTGTACTGTGTTGGGGCTTCAATGGAGGTTCAGGATCTGGTTTTATATCTCTTCATGGCTTGATCAGGAAGCCGGCTGCATGAAATATCAAGTCATTTGCTAAGTAACATGGTTCCCATATATGTATTTTCCACTACGTATACAGCTGCTTGCATGGTATTTAGCTTTAATGACTCACACAACCCTTTGACTGAAATAAGAGCTCAAAAAAACACACAATCATAGTGGATTGCACTCCACTTGATATCTGGCTTTGCATAAGGATTCCTTCACTAACCCATGTCTCTTTTACTCAGCTGGGTGCCCTGGAGTCGAAGAGTGGGTGTAGTTTTGTGCTGAGCTAATGGACTCTGAAAAGCTGCATAAAGAGAACGCTCTGGGTCAGGGAAATATGAAGAAAACACCTAGGGTCAGGGTAATATGAAGAGAGCACTTTGAGTCAGGGTAATATGAAGAAAGCACTTTGAGTCAGGGTAATATGAAGAAAACACCTTGGGTCAGGGTAATATAAAGAGAGCACACTGAGACAGGGTAATATGAAGAAAACACCTTGGGCCAGGGTAAAATTAAGGGGTCTCTGGGTCAGGATAAAAAGAAAAAAACACCTTGGGTCAGGGTAATATGATGGGAGCACTCTGAGCCAGGGTAAAATGAAGAAAACACCTTGGGCCAGGGTAAAATTAAGGGGTCTCTGGGTCAGGATAAAAAGAAAAAAACACCTTGGGTCAGGGTAATATGATGGGAGCACTCTGAGTCAGGGTAAAATGAAGAAAACACCTTGGGTCAGGGTAATATGATGGGAGCACTCTGAGTCAGGGTAATATGAAGAAAACACCTTGGGTCAGGGTAATATGAAGAGTCACACTGAGTCAGGGTAATATGAAGAAAACACCTTGGGCCAGGGTAAAATGAAGGGGTCTCTGGGTCAGGGTAAAAAGAAAAAAAACACCTTGGGTCAGGGTAATATGAAGGAAGCACTCTATGTCAGAGTAATATGAACAGAATAACCTTGGTCAAGGCAGAATTGGTAATAAGAGAATAACTTGTGGCAGTGCATTATGGAGAGAATACCCTGGGTCAGGGTAATATCTGTCTGGGGGAGGAGAGACCGGTAACTATTTGAGGTGGGGGGGATCAGGGTTCAGTTAGGGGAAGGAGAGGAAGAACACCCATAAGAGTGAGTTTAATGTTCATGTGGAAGTGGGCAAGATGGGTGGCATGTTGACTGAAGTTTAAAAGATTTAGGTAGCTCATGGAGTGGTGCTGGGCAGAAAGAGTGTCATGGCAGTCCCCAGTATGACAGACATGGCTAAGAAAATTAACTGTAGAATGTGTCTAAAGAAAGAACTGATATTCCTTTCCATATCATTTTCCAGTGTAATTGCATCATTTGTCCTATGAGATTTGGCAATTACAGCCACGTGGAGGAAAATAAAGAATTTCTTGTGTAAAGTTTCATGAATTGAGCATCATGTGTTATGTAATAAGGATCTCCTTGGGTTATACTCTTCCCTCATACTCCCATAGGGGTTGTTCTGTAATTTACACCCTTAACTCACGGAGGTCTGTGAAAGAAGTGCAAATTCAGTGCTAGGCTCTTCAATATGCAATGGTGAAAGAGTGATTCTTAAAAGGAGGTGCTGCCATTAATACCCTTTTAGTTCAATTAAACATTTTCCCTAGCACCGTGTTCATCTGAGCATAGCTGATGGTAGAGGCACGTTCAGCTTTGCATGTCCTTGGCTCTCCAGTGGCAACAAATGAATCATGAACTGTTAATCATTGAATAGTTTATATTTCTGAGGAATTGGAATTAGTTTATTGTTCTCCCACAGAACCATGTTCTGGAAAATTGTTTAACAATCTCTAGCCTGAAGGTATTTTAGTTGTGGATAGAGTATGGAAGAATGATAATCTCTGTCTGCTTTTCAATAATGACTATGTCTCAGCTCGGGTGATTAACCCTCTATTTCTCATTGTGACCTTTGTCAACAGGATCGAAAGTAATGGGATTCCAACATTGTACCTATAGATATACAGTTAAGCAGTGGCATAATCCTCCTCTCACATGTTCATCCAATGTTTAATCAAGGTGACACTAAACTCAGGAGTTAAATCTTAAAAATGCATTCAAGTACCTTAATTATTAATAAAAATTTATCTTATTTGTGTATCACTCAGCTGTAGATGTAAATCATCTCTGAATTGGTGCTCACACTGTCCTTCCTTCTGGAGGGTGGCTACTTTTGTTCCCCATGGTCCTTGTGTGTGTTGTAAAGTAGTCACTGCTTCAAGCTCTCTCCTGTGATGGACTACAATCTCACATTTAATGTACTAATTTGTATTGAGATTGTAGTCCATCATAGAAGCGAGCTTGGAGCGATGGCTACTTTACAACACATACAGGGACCATGATGAACAAAAGTAGCCACCCTCCAGAAGGAAGGACAGTCTCAGCACCAATTCAGAGATGATTTGAAGATCTACAGCTGAGTGATACACCAATAAGATACATTTTTGTTAACAGTTAAGGTACGGTAATGCATTTTAATGATTTAACTTCTGAGTTTAGTGTCACTTTAACAGTCTGCAGGTATACAGGTGAAACTCGAATAATTAGAATATTGTGCAAAAGTAATTGCAGTAAGTGCTGCAAAAGGGGCCCAAACCGAGTACTGGGTACATATGCATGCTTGTACTTTTCAGAGGTCCGATATTGTTCTATGTACAATCCTTGTTTTATTGATTGCATGTAATAATCTACTTTTTTGAGGTTGTGGATTTGGGGTTCTTGGGGTTTTCATGAGCTGTAAGCCATAATCATCACAATTATGACAAATCACGGC